CAGAAAATGTTTAAATAAATAATATTAAATAAATAATATACATTTTTTTAATAAAATTTATGTTTACTAATAATTCAAATTAATTTTAACATTTTAAACATTTTAGAATGACTAAATATATACAAATCTATGTAATAATTTTGTTTTTTAAATAAACTTTATTATTAAAAATAAAAATAATTAAAATTTATTAAATTAAATACATTAAAATTAATTAAAACAAGTCCATGCATAATTTTAATGAGAGAAAACAAAAGGAAAACATTTTTCTTACTTGCTTTTATAGTTGTTGAGGGCATCAAGAATATACTGGCCCCGTTCAGGCAGAGGAGTATTGGAGAGCTAAAGGGTAAGAAATAGGTAAGAAAGTCTTTGCGAGAAACTGATTGTGTGATATGGTGTTTTATTATGAGACATTTCTTTTGCTGGTGCCTTGAGCTGTCATGTTTCAATGAAGACAAATGAAACCCATAGGCTTTGCTGTAGTTGTTAAGTCTTCCATAAAGTGTGAGCAATTTAGCAGTGCTGTTTTCTCAGATTACACTTGACAACAAGCAGTTAGAATGACAAGAGATGATGCACAACAAAAAAACTGGCAAATTTTCACTACCCATCAAAGGAACTGCTTTTCAGTACCTAGCAATTACAGCAGTCTACAGACAAATCTCTAGCACTGTTTTTATTTGCTTTCAAATGTCTTTGAAGGTGAATTGTGTCATTTTTACATCACTAGTTGTACAAAATGGAATGACACGTTTATGGTTGCTAGAATGTTCTGGGTGTTGCCTTGTGAATGCTACGGTGTTTTGTGGTTACTAGGACATTATTGGGGTGTTCTGTGTGGTTACTAGGATGTTTCTAGAGTGTTCTGGGTGTTGATTTGCTGTTGCTAGTGTGTTCTGGGTATTGTAATGTGGTTGATAGGGTTTTCTGGGTGGTTACTAGGACGTTGTTAGAGTGTTATGGTTGTTGTTATGGTGTGTGCACGAAAAGCAAATAATATTTTTTGCGCGAGTAGATGTAGTCATACAAAGTCAATGCAAAGTGCCAGGCGACACGAATAATGCGAATTGGGTGATGTGTTTGCTGCAAATGCACGATATTCGATATAAATGCACGACTCAATCGTGTTTTCCGAGCAAGTAAAAAAAATTTCAACTCGAGCGGAAAATTTGCATGATGCGTTGTCGCGCACGCCAATCAGCGAAGAGCTTATTGACAAGTTCTTGTCACTTGTCAAGGTGTTCTGGTTGTTGCTATGCAGTTCCTAGTGTGTTCCTGGTGTTGCTGTGTGGTTGCTAGGGTATTTTGGGTGGTTACTAGGGCGTTGTTAGGGTGTTCTAGTTGTTGCTGTGCAGTTGCTAGTGTGTTCTGTGTGTTGCTATGTGGTTGATAGGGTGTTCTGTGTGGTTACTAGGATGTTTCTATGGTGTTCTGGTTGTTGCTATGCAGTTGCTAGTTTGTTCTGTGTGTTGCTCTGTGTGCTAGGGTGTTTTGGGTGGTTACTAGGGCATTGTTAGGGTGTTCTAGTTGTTGCTATACTGTTGCTAGTGTTTTCCTGGTGTTGTTGTGTGGTTGCTAGGGTGTTTTGTGTGATTACTAGGGCATTACTAAGGTGTTACCATGTGGTTGATAGGCTGTTCTGGGTGGCTGCTAGGGCATTTCTAGTGTGTTCCGGTTGTTGCTATGAGGTTGTTAGTGTGTTCTATTGATTAGTGTGTTGATATGCAGTTTCTAGTTTGTTCTGGGTTTTGCTATCATAGATATACATATATGTAGATGCCTCATTAGCGACTCTTTTCTATGGGCTGCGATGCGTAAGCCATCCGTCCATTTTTGGAACGGTATGCGAACATTTGAGCGCGCTGACTGTGTGCATCTACAACTGCAAGTTATACGCTTGTAGATCTTTGAATACTCATTGATAATTATGGTGAATGGGTATTTCGGTCGAATAGGGAATCTATACATATCTGTGGTTGCTATGTGGTTGCTAGAGTGTTCTGGGTGGTTCCTAGCATATTGTTAAGGCGGATTTATACTTCTGCGTCGGACCTACACCGTAGCTTACGCATAGACGCACACCCATACGCCGTAGCCTGACGTGCACCTCTCCAAAAATCTAACAGCGCGTCAATTCTACGCAGACCGCAAGCGTTGTGATTGGTCTGCAAGAACCCCTCCCTCCATATGTACTTGAGTTTTGTGTGTGTTTATGTGCACTTATAATTAATATATTTAATATATTTTAATGTTACACCTTCTTATATAAAATAAAACAAAGCAAAGAACAAGTGTCTTATCATTTATTATACTACATAGCATTATACATCAGTAGTTGTCCGCAACAAACAATGTTGATCTGCCGTGGTACAAGTCCTTGTGCAGATTGAAAGAATGCCATCATCTCCTGTTCCGTTGTTGTCTCCTTTTTGTAGTTTGAAATAATGATTTGATATTTATTTGCCGCCGTCACGGCTATAATGCTTCTCCGACGAGCCGCTTCTTCTTCGGCTTTTGCCGTGGTACTGCGGGTTACACCAGCAACATGCCCGTGGACACTGCTGACTAGCGGTTTGCATGTGTACTGCACGTTGACGCAGACAACGACGCAGAAGTATAAATGAAAACTGACGCATAGCCTACGGCGTAGGTCCGACGCAGAAGTATAAATCAGCCTTTAGAGTGCTATTGTTGTTGCTATGCAGTTGCTAGTGTGTTCCGGGTGTTGCCATGTGGTTGACAGGGTGTTCTAAATGGTTACTAGGGTGTCACTAGGGTGTTCTCTCTGGGTAGTTGCTTATTGACTAAACGTCCACCCAAAGCCCATCCAAAAATTACACTACACTTTATTGTTTAAATTACACTCTTTCCCTTTAACGTTTTTCTAAAAAGATTGTGAATATTAAATGACAGGAAAAGCTTGATTGTATCACCTTGCCCATCTGGAAATGGTCCCAGTTGTTGCTGATGAAGGTCAGGATCTCCTCTAGTTCAAAATATTTCTTTTTACTTTGGACTCCCAGGTTGTACAGGGCAAGATGGACCACATCCACCCTGCAAATGAAAAATAATTGGACTGAAAACAAGAAAACCTGACATAAAATTCTAGAGACTAATCTGAAGATGTCCTAAAGCAGAAATGCTCTTAAATCAAATGACGCCGACAAAATCTGCATGAACTGTCACATGGTGAACGTTAAACAGAGTGCCGTTCCATTCACAAGGCAAGGTCCATTTTAACACACCAGAATTTTTAAGAAGGATAAAGCTTAAATCTGAACCGAGATTGGCTTCATACCTAAATATCCAACACATCCAGCTCACTGTATTTCAAGAGTAATCCCCTGCTATCATAAGAAATCCTCTCAGCACCAAATCTTCCTTTCAAATGGTTATTTCTCATTTGGGGCAAAAAGCAAGAATCAATGTCCAGACAAACTCTACTCTAAAAAAAAAACGCAATGCCCCCTCTTTACTTTCTGAAATAGAGAGAAAACGCTCTAGCTCCGTCCCGCATCAATCACATCCGACACTTTGACTATATAATTCTGACACGGATCTGGGCACAATCACTTGCAAGGGGGAAAAGAAGAGCAGCCATTTACCATCTGAGAGCCAGCCGCTTGATGTATTCCGCTCCTTTATTGCACACCGCACAAATGAACAAGTAAAACCTATGTGAGAAAAGACAGAAAATGGAGGCATTTAAATTATACACCTTGGAGAGGTACAAACGGCGCTGCAGCCGCAGAAAAATTGTGCTTGACAGTGTCATTATGATCTTTTAAAAATCCCCTAACGCATGTAATCTCGCCTGTGTGCGAAGCCGCATTCAGTTTGTCGCAATATTCACTAATCATTACCGTTGAGATGTTGCAAATAGAATTTCACTTTGGTTATTGCGTTCATTGAACTTTCCGAAAAGCAATGGCTTATATTTCATTATAAAACAGATAGCGCCGACCCTAAAATCTGACTGGACCGTTTCGGTGTTCAAAGCCACCGAAGAGCAATTTTCAGCGACAAGCAATTTGTCTGTACACACTGAATGTGAAACGGCGGCACGACACAATCACAGCCAATCAGGGGATATCTGATTTTTACAGTTATGTGCAGTTGGATTTTAGACAAATGAGATTTAATTATTTTATTTAATTAAACCATGTGATCAGAAAAAATGTGTAGAGTGTAGCTGGTTCGATTAAAAATTATTTACATGAGAGATTGTTTGCTTTAAGAATTGTTAACTTTTATTATTTAAATAATTCAAATATTGAACATATTTTAAATATATAATATATTCTAAATATTTAATATATTTTAAATATTTAATAATTGTTTATTTTGAGTATTTAAATAATGATTTAAACATTTAATATAATTTAACTCCAACGATTTATTGCTTATTTTTTTACATGAGATTGTTTGCTTTTTGAATAGTTAACATTATTTAAATAATAATTCAATATTGAACATATTTAAAATATATAATATACTCCAAATATTTATTATATTTTAAATATGTAATCATTGTTTATTTTATTTAAATAATAATAATTTAAATATTTTAATTAATATATATATTTAATATAATTTAACTCTTCAACTATATATTGATTATTTTTACATGAGAGGTTTTGCTTTAAGGATGGTTATTTTTAGGATGGTTATTTTTTATTATTTAAATAATAATTTAAATATTTAATATATTTTAAATATATAATATAATCCAAACATTTAATATAATTTAAATATTTAATCATTGTTTATTTTGATTATTTAACTATTTAATATAATTTAAATATATAATATATTCCAAATATGTATTCCATTTTAAATATTTAATCATTGTTTATTTTGATTATTTACATAATAATAATTCAAATATTTAATATTTTATGAATAATATAATATAAATATTATAATTTAACTATTTAAATATATATTGATATTGTTTTGTTTTATCATATTACTGTTGTTGCCCTTTTATAAAACCAGTATGCCACTTAAGATTGTGCATTACAGTGATTTTAGGCAGGTTTTAGGTGCTCTACTTTCAGGTTGTGCCTAAAAATTCCCCTCAGCCATGGCAAAATCACTTTAATTATATTTAATGATATAAAGCCAACTGCTTTTCAGGGAAGTTCATTGATGAGAAATCCATACTAAAGGATGGCAGAATATTGATGCAAAGATGCAAGTTCTTTCATTGTAGCTCTGTACAGCACACACCTATCTCCAAACATCATGGACTCCTGTAGGCACTGCGTACACGCCTCATGAAACCACTGCTCACAGCGAAAGCACTGCAGCATTTTCAGATACCACCTGATGGGAAAATCAGAGAATAAGAAATGAACTGTCGAATGTTTCTTATCAGATACAAAGCACAAAGACCTAAACAGACGAATTACATTTCAGTACAAACAAAACTGGTGGTGTGATGGAGTGATGCTCAAACCTCTTTCTTTCCATTTGGATTGTGTGTATAGAACAGCAGCAATATCAAAACCATTAGCGCAGCATTACCAAGATGGCACCAATGCGCAGTAGTAATATTTAGTTTTTAATACTCACTAATACAACACTTGTGTTTTTAGTAATGCTATAATACAAAACGGTTGGGTGATAAAAGGGTAGCATCTTTAATATTTTCATGAACTGAATGATAACATCAAATACAGGTCACTATAGCCGATCACAAAGGCATCATAAAAACCAAAATACATAATTTCCTTTCTTTTTCAGTAAAATAATGTACTGAAGAGAGGAAACATATCAGTTAGCAAATGTTAGTAAATACTCATATAACAAATAACTCTCAGTGTTATTTTATTATTATTTTGATACTATTATATATTTAATATTTTGAACTGGCTTCTCTGTTTGTATTTTCAGTTTTTTGTTTGTTATACAGTATACTTTTGTCTTTTTTTTATCTCTAATCGTTTTTATTTCCTATAGTCTAAATTATCTAATATTTTTTATATTTCTGTTTAGCTTTTTATTTTTATTTCAGCTTTAGTTTTAGTAATTGTAGTACTTTAACTTGTTTTATTTCAGTTTGCTGCCAAGATAAGATTTCTAAGCTTTAAATTAGTTTTTAATCTTTAGGTTTTTCATCTTTCATTTATATTTAATTTTTTCACCTTACTTTTAATTATTTTAATAAAATGGTTTTGAGTCATTTTAGTGTTTAGTAGTTTACAGTAAAAACACTGCTCTGGTTAATGTCATTGTAAGTAAAACATCAAATATATAACTTACTGTATGTTTAACTTTATGACATCTATTCAGTGTCACAGCAAAGTCAATTTCTTTAATAATAATCCGATGACTACTGTTCCGAAGCAGTGTACGGACTGTTTATTTTTCAACAATCTTGTGACAGTCCCTGTTCTGTCGTTGGTTGCATAACATACAATTTTGTTTTGATCAAAATTATTGCGCTGAGTGAGCAGACAGCAAGCGAGCCCATGAGGCAGAGATGTGTGAGTGCATTTGTCACGCTCTCCTCACTGCTTTTACTTCACTGAAACACACAAACAAACCACTTCACTACAATTAATCAAACGTCCCAATGCTACCAAACAATGTGACAGATGTTATGCCCAGTACATTACAGTTTTGCTTTGCTCTGCGTATGCTACACTGAATCAGTTTTTAGTACAGAGGCCAAATGCCTAGACCTCTAGCAGGAAAAGAAATCAAGTAAGGAAGAACACAAAAAGAAAGTAAAGTGAAGAGACGAGGCAGACTCACTCTCCGGGTCCTCCGCAGTAGCAGTAGCACTGCTGATGGTTCGTACGATGCAAAGAGTCCCACTCCAGCTCCTCTGGATTATAGGGCAGCACCTGCTTCATGTTCAGCAGCGCTTTGGAGATTGGCCCCTTTTTCAGAGCTCCCCCTTTCTGCCACATAAAGACACACACGTCAGCAACACGGCCTCCCTGATCCCAGTTCATTTATATGGAAAGTGTATATGAAGGACTTACTCTCACAGCTAAAGCAAAAATGCACTTCCTGCAGAACCATGGAGGAATGTCAGCTGAGCTCTCCATTGGGGGCAAGTGGCAGAGCTGGTGATAGCCTGAAGATGCAAGGCAAGCATGTAGAAGGATGGAGGACAAATATTAGCACAAAAAAAGCAGATCGACTCAGACTCAATCAGATGTGTAAATATGAACAGCAGAGCTGAAGTCGACACTAATCCTTGAGACTTCAGAGAGCCACTTCTGTGTCCCCAGCGAGTCATTACTGTAGTGCAGTCTTACCAAACCCCCTTAAAGTCATCAAAGACACCCAGAATAGTTCTCTATTTGCTTTGTAGACGCTATGGCGTTTATAATGCAAATTGTACCACATTTTCCACTCCAGTCTTTTAAAATACATTATCACAAGTACATGTTAATCAGTTTTATCCACAGGCAGAAGAGTTCCCCAGCCATTGCATCATGCAAGAAGTCATAGCAACTTTTATATTACTAGATTTCCACATTTTCTGAAGACATTGCGAGTGCTACAGAGCTGTAACCACCACAGACATTGAATAATCAGATCTCCCCCACAATATTTGATCATCTTGATGCTGCTTTGCACCACTCTGTTTGTTGTTAGATGACAATAACAGCATTCATCATGGTCAAAAAGACTAAAATCGAGTCAATCAAATCAAAAATGGCAGGCTTTACTGTTCACAAAAGCTACGCGCAAAATGTCAGCACAGTGCTTCAGCTGAAAGAGTGCAAAGTAAGAAGCAATTAGCTGAATATGAAATATTTTTCTGTTGTAAACCTTTTTATGATAGAAATGTTAAATGACCGACAACAATACTAATTGATGCAAACCAAAGATGGTAAGATTCGCTGATTCATATCAGTGCAACGGCATAAAAGTTAACGATCCGATGCATCGATTTAAAAAAGTGTGCATCAGATTGGCATTTGTATCGTGATGCATCGTTTCTAACATATCTGCATCGGTAAAAAACGATTTATTTATATATAATTATTAGTAGATGTGATATATTTATATGTAGATTGATTTCTCCTCTCTAAACTGTTTCTCAAGCTGTTCTCTCATCACCACTGCCGCTATGTGAATATGACGCATCACAACACTACGGAGACCAGGGCATTAGAAGTCAGAAGGCACTGAAGTTAATTTATGATTTGCTGTCTGTCTGAACAAAAGAAATAAAAGCGAACTATCTGTACCATATTGAATTGCAAAGCATCATATTTTTTTTCAAATGCATCGCATTGAATCGCATTGTTTTGAACTTGAATCGAATCGAAATCAGATCGCACTGCATCATAATAATAGGGGTGAATCGTATCATATCGTATCGTATCGCATTGCATCGGCACCTGCTTCATATGTATCTTTAACGTATCGTATCATTGGCTACACATTGAGATGCTTATCGCATCGGCCTCACTCCCTAATGCAAACTACTCTTTTATGTCAAATTTTGTCATTTTAAATTAAAAATATAGCATCATTTTAGTTATTCATGTAGTGTAACTTGCAATTTAATGTGATGAAACAAGCAACTTTCACAGATTTCAGCATATTAGGCACAAGGTTAAAGGGACAATTCACAGCTGACAACATGGTGTTTTAATAAAACTTGGCTGTCTATGTAGTATAAATGCAATTTTTTGTAAATCCGTGCTACATGACTAGAGAAAACAGAGAAAAGCGGGCTGTGGCAAAAAGTTAGGAAAACTTCAGCCCCCTTAATGCACTGGGCACAATCAGACTATTTGCAAGAGGGGATACAAAAATGTGCAACTAAATGATATGGTGGCCTTTTGCCGACAAATAAATGTGGATATCTTGGTGCAGGTAATATGGAAAAATATTGAGTCATTCCGTGTCAAATCAACCAAATTTCATAAACTTCCCCGGCTCAAATTTTCGATTTTGCTAATATTTTTTCTGAAGAAATATATACATGTTTAGTGATGAAAGCCAAAATATTGTCATGGAATGTCAATAAATGCCATGGATGTCATGAAATGTCATGGATGAATATTTACTGAGTGGTCCGCTTTTTTGTAGAGCGGGGTCAAAATGGCAATTTTCTCCTGAGATTCAGAGCCAAATTACAGGGGGTTAAAAATGACTTCAGAAAGATGACAGCATCATAATGTTACTTTTACACAGAGATTAGTAGGCCTGTTAGCAAAATCTGTTCACTTTAGCAATCTTTGTTGCATTATGTGCCAATGGTGACCGTTCAAAAACGGGGAAAAGGCATTTTTCAAGTTTTTTCTCCAAAGTTTGCAGGCCTGTAACTCAAGAAGTATTAAAGATATCTTAATGTCCTTTTTGATTTGGGGTCTTAACAAACTTTTCTTTTGGCATCTTAATTTTTAAGGCCCTATATGGTTTGGTTCCAGAGATACCATGACATTTAATATTTTGGCTTTCATCACTATACATGTTTATCTTTCTTCAGAAAAAATATTAGCAAAATCAAAAATTTGAGCCGGGGACCTCTGGTTGAGCTGACACGGAATGACCCTAATACACATTGTTCATTTATTTATACTACCAACATTGTAACAATACAACGCTGGTTGAAAATCCATGTACTTACCCTATAAGAATGAATGTGTGCTTGTTATGAATTATTTTAATGAACGTGGTTATCTGGCTTTCCTTAAAGCCTTTCAGAAAATATCTTTTTTTTTGTTGCAAATAGTTCAAATGCATTACTTTACAATAAAATGAAAAAATGAAAATTTATTAGGTCTTCCCAAAGACATGGATATGGGTTTGGTCACCACTACAATTTAGGCTGCCAGGATGTGGCTACGTAGTTGGTAGGATGTTTTGGGTGTATCCTAGGTGGTTGACACCAACAGAATAAGCATCAGCCATCCCACCCAAACCCACATAAAATAGAAAAAATTATTATTATTATTATTGGTCCAGATGTACTGTAATACATTCATTTACCACAGCAAATAACTAATAAGTTATTACTTTTATTAATAATAAAAATGTATTGGACAAATTGGACATTTTATTGGACACATTTGTATCTACCTCTAAGTGCTAGATGAGTCACTAATATTTTGTTTTCCTGGAGGAGACCAAATCTAAATTTAAATTTGTTTGTCTGCTAACAGTCAGCTGTACATTAGCATACAAATAATCTAAAAGTTCAAATCCTTAACCCTAAGTATGAGTAATAGTATGAGTGATGCAAGCATCACTAATAACTGAGTTACTGAGTCAATAGTTCCTCAAAATGAATCACTACTTTCTCCACGCAAAAACAAGCTGTTTTACTGTGATATATCCAGGTTTGGTGTGTTACATGATGAGCTAGGATACAGGCAGCGCCCATGTCTGCCTCAGACTCACCTATTCCACACTTCCCGCAGATAAGAATTTCATTACCAGGAACCAGAGACATGTCAGAACACACTGAGCATTTGGGTTCTTCCCCAGGGACCCCAGCTACAAGTAATCCACATGACTCCAGTCCATCGGTAATGTCTTGTGAAGAGGAAAGCTGCGTGTTTGCAAAAAACAAATCCATCATTAAGGCGTTTTAAATTTAAAGCATCGCTTCTGTCCAAACTCTATAATAACATTTCCTCCAGTGAAAAAGACCATTCCCTGTTGTCCTCTCACATCAAAATCAACTTAAGTATTTGTTTAGAACTGTTTTCCCTTGTAAACAGTGCTTGATCTGTGCATATTTCTCTCCTGATTCAGACGACACCACTGTTTTACTGGAGGAAGCAATATTATGGATGGAGGAATTGTATTTTAGCCGGAAGCAACAGTTTGAAGTTAAAATGTCTTAATGATGGATTTGCTTATTACAGACACCTGTTATTTGATGGACTGGAGTCATGTGGATTTCTAACTGGATTATTGTGATGTTTTTATCAGCTGCTTGGACTCTCATTCTGACGGCACCCATTCACTGCAGAGGATTCATTGGTGAGCAAGTGATATAATGCTAAAAGTGAAATAAATTTCTCTAAATCTGTTCGGATGGCCTGAGGGTGAGTACATTTTCAGCAAATTTGAATTTTTGGGTAAACTATACCTTTAATGCTCCAAGCACTATAACAACTTAATTCCAATGCTTCATGTTGCCATGTCCCAGGAGTAGGGTTGGGTATCGTTTGAATTTTATCGATTCCGATTCTTTTCGATTCCCAGTTCAGGGCTCGCAAAATCGCTAGCCCGACATCCTATTGTTTTTTCCAGTCGGGCTACCAAAATGTATCACCGCCATTATTTAAGTAAAAATATGTTTCTCGTATAGGCCTGTTTATTCGTTATATAGACTATAGGCTACCGCTCGCAGAAGCGCTGCAGGTGCATATATGATGACCATGTGAATCCTCATGTTCTGTTGTTTGCTGCTTTCTGCGCATGTAAAATTAATCCCTGGAAAACAAATGTTAGTATTTTTAATGGGTCACAGACACTTATCCTTTCTAATTTTAATTCAATTCTAATTTAAAATAATCTTGTCGGTTAATGGTTAATAATCGGTTAACGAGCATCGGTTGTCAGTTAGGAAAAATAACCGAAATGAACATCCCTAGTCTGAGTGTCATTCTAAAAATCACATTCTTTATTAAATACACAAAACCATTAACAGGGTCAGACATCTAACAGGACATGCGTAACGTACATAATATGCAGGGCTCGCAAAATCGCTATTGTGTTTTCCAGTCGGTCTACCAAAATGTATCACCGCCCTGCCTGACGGGCTATCTTGATTGAATAGTGATATAAAATTCCTAACTTGATTCGCTTGTAGGGGTGAAACGGATCGTAGTTGATCGTTTGCACTTGTTTCTAAGTCTTGCCGATTTAAACATTCAAGCGTTTTAAAACATTCACGCGCATTCGGAGCTAGCGCGCTGGTTTCTGCGCGCACTCATTCAAAGCGCGCACAGGGAGCCATGTTTCAGACAATGCGCGTACACAGAATTGATTCCTCTTTTGCGTATCCTTGCTTCTGAATGAACACATACACACAATATTATCTCAAAATAATTGTCTCTGCAAGTATTCTCGTAAACACAGTCGGTTATGTCTTAAGTGAATATAAACAGTGGAGAAAGAAATCTCCTGTGCATCATTATATTGGATCCGTG